TCAGAAGAACGTGAAGAGGTTGCTCGGTTCGCAGAATGGATAGCGAGCATTGGAATAGAATCATAGGAGGGGATAATGATGGTTGTGCAATGATATACATACCTGAGGATATAATGCTTGAGCCCTCTGATGATCTGTTTGCCCAAATTCTAGAGAGCACGTATCCAATGTTTAAGCAGGCAACCGATGATCCCAGTTATTTAAAGGACAGGGAAATATTAACGCCTACTCTAGATGTTGTTGAGTCTATCAATGAGTACATGACATCGTTGAATTTATCTGACGGTCAGATGTACTTAAGTTCTAATACTACTTGCAAGTCCGACTCTAATAACGATTTCTTGTCCGATATCCACACGCCTGAATTCTTAAATAGTATCAAATGTTCCGGAATTCCAAATCATCAATTGTATTTGAAGATTGGAACTCCCGTCATGTTGTTGTGTAACATGGATCATTCAATGCATCTATGCAATGGGACGTGGTTGGTTGTCACAAAACTCTCCACTCATGTTATCGAGTGTAAGATATTAACTGATAATCACGCAGGCGAGAAGGTGTTGCTTCCTAGAATGGCTATTACTCCTTCCGATGTCCGAATTCCTTTCGAGTTCCAGAGGCGTCAGTTTCCTATTATGGAATCGTATGCCATGACTATCAACAAGAGCCAGGGAGAATCGTTGTCGCATGGTGGTTTATTTCTTAAGAAGCCTTTGTTCAGCTATGGACGTTATACGTTGTTGTATCCCGTGTCACCACCCGAAGTGGACTGAAAATTTTAGTTTGTGGTGACGATGACTCGACGCCAAATCAAATGAAAAACGTTGTGTACAAAGAAGTTTTCAATAATTTATGAATTTTGTAGTTTGCGCCCAACATGTTTACTTTTGTTACAAATATAACAAGTTCACTAAATTTAATCATTAATGTTTATAAATGTTTAGAAAAATATCATCCCGTGCATCGCACGGGTAATTACTAGTTTTGATAATATAATGTAGTAATAATGGTGCATGTGTAAAATAAAAATATTATGAGGTATATAAAAATTTTTAAATTTTTTTTTGTCTCATTTCAATAAGTGAAATCTCTGTTGCAACCATTGTTTTGAAAACCAAACCGGTCAACGAACCGGTGAAGCTACCAGTTCAATAGTTCACTAGTCGGACCAGTGGTCAAACCGGTCGAAACGGTTTAATAATGAGGAAATATTTAAACAAAAAACCGTATGTGTCGAGGTTCGGAGGCTGGAAGTGTTGAGGTTGATGGAGAGTTACACCCGCGCGATGGCTGCATATTCTCAGGCGGGGGCAGATGTGCATGTCACACGGATGACGTTGGACTCTTCCGGGCTCGGGATGGATCAAAGTAAGCACTGATGAGCTGCCAATGGCACCACGGGATGGGGGGGGGGGGG